ATCATGCTTCAAGAGTTCGCAACTGGTGTGCTCTCTCCCTACGATGCCAAGTGCATGATTGAAGGTCGAGCTGACTGTGATGTGAAGCTTTGCCTAGTGCTGGACGCGCGGTCTGTTACATCTGCAGTGGTGGCCCCGAATGTAAAGGTTCCTGCTGAGCCGAGTTTACTTCTTCATGTCCATTGGCTACGATCGCTGCTTCAGAGTGGTCGCTTGAACCGACTTTTCTGGAGTGACACACGATCTATGACAGCTGATGGCATGACCAAGGGCTCAGTGACACGTGACTTGATTGATGCGATCATGAGAGGAGTCTTGCAGATCGACCAGCCTTTCGTCGATCAAGTGATCCCGTAGGTATCCTGATTGTTTCAATCACCACAAAACCTTCCGACTCATTGTGCATTTGACGACCCTCAGCTTGCGGGGACCGCAGCGTAGGTGCCCAGGATTACTTTCAGCTTTTGGTTAGAGAAAACAGTTGAGCCCATTATCCAGCTTTCGAGCCATCTGGAACATACATCTCTGCATCGTAGTCGGTGATGGCCTTGGAACTCATATAAGCTTTGGGGCACCTATAGGCTGCAACCATCAAGTACTTGTAGTCCTCGTGATCCATATCTCTTCCCTTCTGCTTGAAGGGACCAGCGAGGTCGATGGCAACCGTGAACATAGAAGGATGTAGTTGACGTCGATGTTGATATCCGGTGGCCTGAGCGTTAATACATACGGAACAGTCTGCTCTATAAGGTTGATGATCATTTAGAAGATGTCTCTTCCAGGATTCCTTCTGTTCCTTGGTCAACTTTGAGACCTTCACACCCATCTCGACCAGGGCCTCCTCCTCGGACACCGAACATTGATGAAACTCCTTCACCGCTTCGGCCACAATCTCCTTGAAGCCGTGGGACCAAGTGTTCATTTCCTTATCATCGACCAGCGAACGTGGAACACAGCCATCCGCAAAGTCATACAATCCGTCAAGCTGCCGTAGGCGCGCGTAGTTGGTCGCTATTGTTGTCGGTCGCTTCCCCTTATGGCCCATTGCTCCCATGTAGAAAGAGGCCAATCCCATTCCACTCACAGACTTGAACGACTTCCACAGCTCCGTTTTCCATATTGAAGCCATTGACGGATCGTCCTGACGTAGCTGCTCCTTGTCCGCGGGCTGCTCCATCATGAATCCCACTGGTCCCTTTCTGGAAACTGTAGCTACCATCCACAACATCATCTGCTTCACTGCTGCAGCGGTTTCACTGTTCATCCTTTGCTGCTTCAACGGTGGTAGTCCTTCATGTTCATAAAGGAAGGCAGTTGTTCTCGTTGGATAGGATCCGGGGCCCCGGTCTGGAGTCATTGAAGTGGGCCAGGTAGAATGCGGAGGTGTTCCCAGGATGTCGCTGATCTTTCCCTTTGAGGCTGCCCAAAGCAACAACTGGTACACTCCTCCTCTTCGATGAATATCCCATAGCTTCGACATAGAGGTATCTACTTCGAAGACAATCTTTCCCTCCTTTGGGATGATGCTGAAAGGGTCCCTGGTATTCTCTTTTGGAACCCTGGTTCATGACCACCACCCATCTGTCCGAGGCCATGAGGAGCTTTCTTACTCTCCTTGGTATTGGAAGCTGCTTGAGGTAGTAGGACCCTTTTTCATTCTCAAAGCCTTCTGTCGCCATAGCCTGGACGTCCTCCGGAAGGTCCTTGGTGAAGGGGCATAGTAGCATTGTTCGTAGGAGTAAGGATTGGTTCCCCGTCTTCGTATATTCCATAAGAACATCATTCCATGCCCTCACTTCCTCCTTCTTCAAGACTTCGAGTTTAGCCTTGAGTGACTCAACTTGGCTTGTCGTAACTGAAAGGATCCCTTTTGCCATTGTAGCGTGCAGTCCAGCTCCTCTATCACCGCCCCCAGCGGGACGATGGGTTGAACAGCATTAGCCCCATTGTCTTCAACGAGCACCGTTCCATGTAGATTCTGCTTCATCTCCCTCACATCCTCACCAGCTAGAGTGACCTTGACCGCGCTTCCTTTGGAGTACTCATCTCCCTGGGCCAAATGCATAGCATGACTTGCACCACTGTCCAGCAACCCGTTGGTCGAACCATCTTCTGCGGCAACCGTAGAGGCCTTCATCGCTGCTTCAATTTCCTCAACCTTTTGCTCGAAACCAGCTTCCACGATGGTAACCTTCTTGATGTTCACAGCGGTCATCTGCTTGAGCATCTTCCCCACGTCCGCCAACATCTCCTTGATGTCTGGTGTCTGATCTGAGGCTGTGATCTCAGTGGCAGCGGAAGTCGCGGAAATATGCTCCACCTCCGGAACATCATCAATCCTAACGGACTTGGTCGTCGTGGTAGTGGAGGATGCTGCAGCCGTCCTTGGGTGCTTTCGCATTGGCCTTATCCGAATTTGACGTACTGGAAGGCGTGGACGGCTGACGCTTTTGGTTCGGGCACTGCTTCGTCATGTGCTTGCCTCCGCAAGTCCAACATCTCTGCGGTTTCTCCTTCTCGTTGCCCTCCCACGAATGCTTGAAGGGGCACTTCGGCCCTCGCGCACAACCCTTTAAAGTCTTGCCGAAGAATCTGCACGGAGTTGACGCCCGTTTTTCCTTGTCAACCTCCTCGGCTCCCGAAGTAGTCTGCGAAGATGACCTCGTGGTAGGCAGTGGAGGAGCTGTAGGGCTCGTGGGAGAATTATCCGTGCGTAGTGGCTTAATCCTCGGCTCAGGCTTGTTGTTGGGCTGTGTGGTAACCGTGGTAGACGCAGTGATCCCCACAGCCAGAGTTTCACATTCTGCTAGTAGGTGCCGGTAGTAGCTGTCAACTGAGTCCATTGTAGGCCGGGTGTCGACCATCAGCGTGGATTTGACAAGGCTTGTTCGGAAGCTGGCTTCCGGGTTCTTTTCCATCACCTTCCGGACCATGGCATTCAGTCCGCGCGCTAGCAGGGCTGGGTCTGGAGCTGTCACCTCTAGTTCTCGACATTTGCGGAGCCATCTTTCCCAGCTCCGCAACGCCTCAAGAACCCTGGCAGGTTCCCCTTCTTGAGGTGGCTCCTGAAGATTGTGAAGTATGCGAACTTTTTCTTCGCCGCCCGGCTGATATAACGTCATAAGTCTGAAGAGAATGGACTCCCAGTTAAACGCCTCGCGACCATCTCGTGCTGGACCCCTTCCGCTAGCGCCAACATCAGCATGCTTGAGGCCCGAGAATTCACACGACTCCACTTGCCAGTCTCCAGCTCTTCGTTTCTGGGCGGTGACACCTTCAACCTTTCTATTGGGCTAGACTTTGCCCATTCCACATATGACTTCGTTGCAGAGGCCTTGACCTTTTCCCACCAAAGTCCTGACCCGTCGGATAAGTCCGACGTGGGAGACGTGAGCTTCTCCAACCAGTCCATGATGTCCACTGAAGCGGATTCAACCTTCATCACGGGCAAGGTGGGCAATGGGCTCTGTTCCCCTTCCTTGTCTTTCTCTGCGGCCGTCATCTGCTTCAACATCACCGCCTGGAGCTGGGCCATTCCTCCAGCTAGCAAAGTCATTGGGTCTGGCTGTGCTTGACCTTGCTGTCCACCAAGCCATTGTTGTGGTGTTGTAGTTGACATCGGAACATCCTGGGACCCACTCGACGCTTGGCCAACATTGAAATGATCATGACCACCATGGGGTAGCTGCTGAACATTCCCTCGAGGATCACTTGAAGCTGCGTGTACTCCTGACTGACCACCTTGGGGTAGCTGCTGAACATTCCCTCGGGGATCACTTGAAGCTGCGTGTACTCCTGACATTCCCTCGGGGATCACTTGAAGCTGCGTGTACTCCTGACTGACCACCTTGGGGTAGCTGCTGAACATTCCCTCGGGGATCACTTGAAGTTCCATATACTCCTGAAGGACCACCATGGGGTAGCTGCTGAACATTCCCTTGAGGATCACTGGAAGCTGCATGTACTCCGGAAGGACCACCTTGAGGTAGCTGCTGAACATTCCCTTGAGGATCGCTTGAAGCTGTAGGTAATCCTGAAGGTCCAGGCTGTAGTAGCTGTGCTCTTTCCCTTTTCAGTTCCATAACTTCCCTCTGGAGTCTCGCAACTTCGCCCTGATGCTTCTGCATGTATTCTTCCATTTGTCTCTGTACCTCGGCTTGCAGTCTCGAGGATCGATCGCTTCCACCATCTGAAGTTGGGCCATAGAGTTGAGGATGATTCCTCTGCGACTGTCGCATCTGGGCTTCGGTGAAAAGTGTTGACTGTCCCCTCATAGTCGACCACGAAGTTGGTACAGCCGGTACTAGAGTGCTTGGTTGTAGATCCTGGGGCGGAGAAATATTTAATCCTCCAACCTGGTTCGCCGTCTGCGCATGCGGAAAACCCAAGTTGTCTAACACCCTGTCCACATTCGAGACACTCCTTGTAGCCGTAGTCCGCAGGAATTCTGTTATCCTTGCCATCCAGCGAAAACCATTCTGTTCTGTACGCTCCTGTCTGGTACCTGCTGTATAAAACTCTTGCACTCTGACGGTTGAATCGGTAGGTGGCGTAAACGCAGGAGTCATTGGCACTGGCGATGGCGGGGGCGGCCGTAACTCGTTCGTCGCTCGCGCTCCCATGTCCGGTGCCGCTCCATAAGCGGGATCGACCATGTCCGGTCCAGCTTCCCTCGCTGGCATAGCTCCACCCAGAAACTCCGCTGCTGCCGAAATCGGTGCGGGGTCGTGAACATTGGGATTCTCCAAGGCAGGGTTCTCCACAGGTCCTTGTTGAGGTGGAACTCCGTTCTGCATCGTCGTTCCGGTGCAGTTTGCCCGGTCTTCTCTCGCAGTAGCATCTTGGGCTAACATAACCTGTAAGAGTTCGAATTTGACGTGTCGGACTTATGCACTTCCAAGAAAGGCGCCGGCACACATGAAGGATCTTTTTGCTCTAAAGAACGGCACAGTAAAGCTGCTCTTGAGTTCATCACGAACTTTCGTCAATGACTGCTCCTGTGCATCAGCTTGGCCGAACTATAGCTTCGAGCAACATTCTTCAGTACACACACACATGGTACATCAAGGGCTCACAAGCATCTTTACACAACTATGGGAATGCGGATTTCTGCAAGGTTGTAGGTACTTAGGTACTTGCAGTGGGGCAGATTCTCTGTCCCAACCAAGGAACAACTAAGGTGCAAAGCGACTGACCGGGGAAGGGTGGCTCCTTCGGAGGACCCGGAACCGCGACGTCAATAGGGTAGGATTCGACGCTCTTTTGG